CACCGACAGGGGTTTCCATGACAGAGCATCAGAATGTTGATTTAGAAGCTGCAGGGGACATATTCCCTGCAGTGAAAGGCAGGCTAAAAATATGGCTTATTCTTGTTTTGAGAGATATTCCCACTTCTCTTGCCCCTCCTTTCTTCACTGCATTCAGGGCTGGAGAAGCTGAAGCTCCTTTTCAGGGGCCTGTGATGAGCTCTCCTGGTGCTTTGCCCTTTTGTTCCGGCAGTTCTCCACACCTTTCCTCCTCTGCTTTCCATGTCTAGTTTCCATCCTCCTTCACACAGTTCTTCAATGGAAAAGGAAACTTTTGAGTTTGTTTTGTTTTTTGTTTTTTTTTTTTTTTTTAATTAAGAGGCTCAGCTCTCGCCTTGAACAACTTATGTGCACTCCAGCGCCTCTTCTGCTTTACCAGCAAGGCACCTGTTGAGCTTTTTCTGCATTGACGCTATTGCCTGCAATTGGTGCCGGATCTATAATTCCTAGCTCTGCTCTCTGAGGACATTATTGAACAACTTCAACAAAGAGCCTGAAAGCACTGCCCAAAACTGTGTGAGACTTTGTAAAACACAATAGGATTATAACTTCAGCCTTACTCACTGCCTTGCCAGCTCTCTGTCGTGCCAGGGCTGGAGGCAGAGGCAGAAGGAGAGGGTTTGCTGGCAGACTGCAGGGAGGATGCAGTTGTAGAAAGCAGGTGTTGCTGGCAAGTGATCATGGTTTACTCACACAAAACACACTTCCATCACAGTTTCACTGGAGTAAAAGCTTCCCCTGTTTCTGTCTCATCTGGCATAAAAGCCTGCTCTCAATTCTTGTTATTTGCAATATTAGGACTGGGTAAGGCACCACTACCAGAATATTATCTCAGCTCTGGTGGGGCTGAGACTTGGCAGTGCCAAATCACAGTGATATATGGGGCAGGGCCATAATTTCCTCCTTTTTCCATGGTCTGGCCTTGTCTTTTTCCATCCAGATCAGCCACATCTTTACACCTACTTCTCTTTCCCATAGCTGGATCAATATAATGAACAATATCATGTAACCTTCTTAACTGCATCCACTTCCATAGATAGAAATTTTACAAAGATTTTACATATCTAAACATGTAGGCTTATTTTGCAGAAAGAAAATATCTTTGACATTTTTATTGTAGAATTTGTAGGCAGAAAATGACTGTAGAGATCACCCAGTCTCTGAGACAGGAGCTAGGCTTGCTCCTGGGCCCCTTCAATTCCAAAAGGGAAGTTGTCTGCTTAGTTTAAGTGAAAAGTTCTCCACTGAGGGGAAAATAAATCTCTCTGGCTCAGAAGTAATCTTCATAGGTTTTGCTTGTGGAAATACTCTGAAAGTAGAGCACAGATCTTGTGCCATGGCACAGGGGTACGAGCCGGAGGTGCCCTGCTTCTGCTGGGACTCTGTCCTCCCCTGGCACAGGGAGGGTGTGTGGAACTATCAAATAAAAAAGATTGTTGAAAAATTGAAACCCTAGCCAAGAATCATGGATCCTAGAGCAAAACACAGGCCTGGGACTCACTGGGAGTCCAAAAATGAGGGCAGAATGTGTGTTTGCCCCGTCTTTGGAAATGTCCAAGGCCAGGGGGGGCTTGGAGCAACCTGGGATAGTGGAATGTGTCCCTGTCCATGGCAGGGGTGGGACTGGATGGGCTTTAAGGTGCCTTCCAACCCAAACCATTCCATGGCTCTGTGATTCCATGTGCCATCTCCTGCACCCTCCCATCGCTGTCACCACCAGTCCCTGGCTGACAGATCTGTGGATAGATCTGCTGACGAATACAGGGAGAGAAGGTAATACTGATTTGCAGCAACCTATTATATCTTTTTTCTATAAATTAAGTTTGTCTGACAAGTAGGTAGACAAAAAGGTTGATGACATTTTTAGGTAATATGTGAGGAAAAAGGTGATATTCATATATTTTTCTTTGTATTTCTGTGTTTTATTATCAAAGTTGTACTTCCACTTTCCCACAAGGTTTTCAGTGGAAGCTTAAGGTGGCATTTTTGATTTGCTGAAAGTTTGAATGATTGGGCTGCAACTAAGGAGTAAATTAAATCGTGGCCTTGCAGCCAAAGCTAGTGCACGATCTTAAAAAAATAAAAAATTAAAATCTCGGCGCTTGAAGGCAAAAGGAAAGTAAATAAAAACAACAAAACAAAGAGAGACTTGTTTGTTTGTTTTAATTTGAGCAATTTTCTCAGGCTGAAGCAGAAACTAACTGCATTTTGTCTTTGATGTAGAAACAATTGGCTGTACTTTTGAGGTAGAGAGCTTTTTCTCCTGGAAAACCACTGCAGGATATTTGGCTTGAATAGGTGGCAAAACACCACATGGAATGTGTACGCTCTGCCTGGTCTTATTTTAAGGGAATCTTCTCTTTTTTTAATTTTTAAATAAAGATTGCAGTTTACTCCCTAATGCTTTTAAAGCAACAGCTTTTATTCTCCATGAGACTTGGGCATCTATTGTGATTGTGCTATAAAAATACTTGAAACAGAGTAAATTATCAAATAAGGATGATTTAAGGGTTACCATCAACCCCTGTATGTCAGTGAAGTTTTTGTCCATTAAAATACCAAGAAAAGTTAAATGCATTTGTCTCTGAGGAAAAGACAAAATATTGATCAACCTTTGATATATTGCAATTGATCTTTTCAACACAGCAACCTAAAAAGGCTTCTGAGACATCCTTCACAGTCTAGAGGTTCCAGGGCTCAAAACAGACCATAAATAGGTGACTGAAAATCTTTTAATAGTTGAAAAAAAGTTAAGACCAAAAAAAAGAAAAGAAGAAAAGTCAGACCACTAGCATGTTTCTAAAAAAAAATTCCTTTCACCTGTGGACATCATGGTGAAGGTGACAAGAACTCTTATGCAAAATGTGACTATGTTCATTCTTGACTCAAAAGGTAATTAAAAAACCCCTTTTAAGTTGTTGTACCATACAAAAATCAAATAAAAAAACATAACTGCGAAAATAATGGTTGAATATTGATTGGTTGTGGGAATACTTGAGCAACATAATATTTGAAATGTGCCAGGTGACTTTTGTCTCCCAGGGCATCCAGAGCCCAGAAGAACTGCTGGCCCCTCACCTTAACCTCCTCCCACAACCTGGGGGACCCCAAGACCCCCCCACACACCTGGAGCGCACCAACCCCTCGTTCCCAAACCCCTCTCCCAATCCCTCCTGACCCCAACACCTTCTCCCACTCTGAGTCACACCAAAAGAATTCAAACCTCTCCCACCACACTGAGGCAGCCACTCCCCAGACAAGCCCCAGTCCTCTGATATGCTCCTTGAAAATTACCTGCATACCAACTTTTCCCACAAAAATGCATCCACTACCCCAAAAAAGCCAGAATTTGAGGGGGCAAAATGGCAAAAAAAAAGGTTAGAAACTTTTGTGCTTATTTTTGGAGTGTTTATTTCAGAAGAATTCCAAGGGCTTCTTGCTGTCTCCAAATTGTTGCGAAAATACCTGGGAATTCTGCCAGATCCTCCTGTATTTCTGGGAATTTTGCATCCCGCTGCCAAGGTTTTGTTGTTATTTTTGAGGCAATAATTCAGAGATTTGGGGACTTCCTAAGGCAGGGTGAGAGAAGTGGGATATCCTGCTCCCAGGGAGGTAAATGAGAAGGAATTGCAAGTCCCCACCCCACAGTCTGGGTGGTCAAAAATCCAAGTGGGAATGGGGCAGAAACAGAAAGAAGAGGTGGGAAGCGAGAGAGGGGGAGTTCAGCATGGAGGGGGGAGACTGGGGAGGGAGGGTCTCAGTGTGGAGCACAGCGCCCCAAACACTGGGGTCACAATGCCCTGAAATTTGGGGTTACAACATCTCAAATTTGGGGATCATATTGTCCCATTCTTTTTGGTCTCATTGTCGCAAAATTTAAGGTCCTCCATTTTCAGATCAAAACATCCCAAAATTGGGGGCCAAAATGCACCACACTTAAAGCTCATTATATCCTACATTTTGGGGTTAAATGTCCCTCACAATGGAGTCACAGTGCCCCACATTTATGGGTAACAGTGCCCCCCATTTTTTGTCACATCATCCCACATTTTGGGATCACATTGCCCACTCTTTGGGGTTGCAAGGGCCCTCACTTGAAGGTCACAATGTCATACTCTTAAAGGCTACAGTGTCTCACAATTTGGGGGAAAATGCCACACATTCTGTGGTCAGAATGCCCCATAGTTTGGGGTAACAGTACCCTATGCATGGGTTCACATGCCCCACCCTTAGGGGTTGCAGTGACACACATTCTTGGGTCACATTGTCCCACACTCTGCTGTCAAGACACCTCACACTTGAAGGGTCACATGGTGCCACGTTTTGGGGTAAAAATTCCCTGCATTTTGCGGTAAAAGCACTTCATGCTTGGGGATCACATTGCCCCACACTTGGGTGTCACAGTGTTTTACTCTTTGGAGCCACAATGATCCATGGCTAGGCATCACTTTGCCACGGATTTGTGGGTCATGGTATGTCCACATTTTGGACATACCACATGATTTAGGGTCAAATTGCCCCCACAATTTGGGGTCATACTGCCTCACTCTTTGAAGTCACATTGCACCGCCCTTTGGGTCAAACATATCACACTTAGGGTCACAGTGCTACACAATTTTAGGTCAAATTGCCCTACAATTTTCAGTCAAACACCCCACATTTGGGGTTGTGATGTGCCAGACCTGAGGTCCATGGTGCTACAAATTTAGGGATCACAGTATCCTGGACTTTGGGGTCAGAATGCCCCATACTTTGGGACTGCAATGCCCTACATAAGGGTCCCAATGCCCCAAACTTGGGGGTCATATTGATTCACATTTAGAGGTAAAATATTTCTACCCACTGGGATGATGACCCCCCCCCACCCCAATTTTCCAACTTAGCAAATGACTCTCAAATTCACACCCCAAAAAAGCTTTTAGAAGCATTTATTAACTGTTGTATCAAAACCAGCCCTTGGCAATATAATTTTTATATGGGAAAAAAACACTGGGATTTGGATCTTTTTGACCTGAATGTGATATATTTCTAGGTTCCAGGGTGTGGATGGCACACAAGGCACTAGGATCCACACAGATTTAATCCATTTGAGAAAATGGATTTGAGGCAAAATCCAGAATTTTCCCAGGTTTTGGGGAATTTGAGGTGGATCCTCAAATGGGATAGATAGGAGCATCAACTTCCTGACGGGTCTGGTGGGAGATGTGGCTGGAAGAGAAAGAAATACTTAATTTTGGGCAGAAATGAGTCAGTTTTGGCAAAAATGGGGAAGCATTATGCAAAATGGATTATTAATGTGCAAATAATGGGTCTTTTATGCAAAAGTGGGTCAGCATTATGTGCAATGGCCTGATTTGGGGGAAAGTGGCTAATTTTGGTGGAAAAATGGTATTTACTATGCAAAGTGGCTCGTTGGGAAAAATATCTCATTATTGGGCAAAAAGACGCCCCTTGTAATGCAAGATGGCTCATTTTTTGGCAAAGCAGTTGCTTACCGGGATCGTTCCCACAGGATCCTGCCTCAGTCGCTGCGGATGAAACCAAAGAAACTGGAAAATTCCTTCCAGGATCTGCCCAGCCCCTCCCCCACTGACATTATTGCCAAATTTCTGAGTGGGAATACATAATTTTCTTGGAGTTTGGGGTAAATAAATTACTGAGGAATTACTCACCACCCAGCAAAATCCCGGGATTTCCACATGTCCACCACTTCTCCAACACTCTGGGCATCACGTCCGTCTGGAAGCTTCAGGTCATCTCTGGGGTTTCCGTTGAAATTCCCACAGGGGGCACAGAGACGGGAGGCCAGGCCTGAGGTGACAGTGATGGTTGCCTCCCCATCCCGGGTGATGGCGATGGACATCCCAGAGCGGTGGCTGATGGTGACATTCTCAGGGGATGATGCTACAGAGATGGAGTCAGAGATGGTGGTGGGGGGCCGGGTGAAGAGGCCATTGACCTGGGAAAATTAGAGAAAATTATTAAAACATTATAGAAAGCCAGTTTGTTCCTGGGCAAAAGGCTCTAGCTTGGCAAGAGCCAAAATCACTCTTCTCTTTTTTCAAAAATGGCTCATTATTGGGCAAAATTGGTCTACACCAGACAAAGTGGCTCAGTACCAAGCAAAATCTAGAGAGATTTTTGCCCAGTTCTCTCTAGATTGACCCAAACCACCCATAACTCCCTTACCTGCTGCACTCACCCACACTTCCATGTTGCCATTGACGCTGACAACGCCCTCGCGGACAAAGACGATGGCAGCCGTGGCTGCGGGGACATTCGTGTCACGACACTCGCTGACCTCCACCACCACCTTGAACCAATCTGGGGCCTCCTCATTGCAGAGGGCTGACACCTTGTAGGTGCCACTGGCCAGCAGGGGCCCGGTGGCACCATCGAAGGTGGTCATGGTGGCTCCAGGTGTGACCTGGCAGTGGCCTTCCATCCTGGCACACACCTGTGCCCCGTCACGGGTGATGCACACCTGGTCCTGGGGACACTGTGTGTCCCGGCACACCAGTCCCCGTGATGGGTGACAATGGCATTCCTTGGAGCAGTTGTTGAAGGTGACAGTCTCACCTGCCTGGAACAGGAAATCTCACAGATTAAGCATAATCTCCCAAATTTTGGGGTAATTTCCTGAATTCTCACTAGAAAGTGAGAAATTTGGGTGGATTTGGGGAACTTTGAGCAGCTCAACCCATTAATAGTAACTTTTTCTCTCCTAATCACAGATTTTTTGTGCTGTCCTTTTTTCTCAATTATTAATTCAATTTTCCTGCAACTCCCTTGCCAGTTGTCGGGTTTCTTCCCCCAAGAATTGTCCTTTTTGCCCTTAATTGTCCTTTGTTCACCCCGAACCCTCACATGGGGCAGCTCAACCCCCAGCCTGGTTCCCAGAAAACCAACCCCACCAGTCCCCAGGCTCAGGTGTCACCTGCCCTTGTCACCTGACCTTGAGGTAGCGTCCCCTGTGGAGGCAGCCACAGCGCTCGGGTGACACGCAGGTGTCCCCATCGAAGACGAACCCCTCGTCACACTGACACCCCTCAAAGCACCCCCAGCTGCAGCGGGCGGGGCCCACCAGGGCAGCACAGGTGAGATCACAGGTGCGGGTGCAGAGCTCATAGTGGCTGTTTGGGGGGCAGGACAGGGCTGGGGAAAAAGAGAAAAAACACCATTGTTGGGGCAATTCCAAATTGTGCAGGGTTTTGGTCAAAATGTGAAGATTTTCTGAAAAAAAGTAGTTTGTTTTTTTAAATGTGACGACATCTTTTGCAAAAAGCAAGTATTTCTCCTAGTTTGGGCATTTCCATCAAAAATGGTTCTTTTCTTATGAAAATTGGTGTGAGTTTTTTGTTCTGTTGTTTTTTTAAATTTAATGTCATCATTCCAAAATGGCGTTATTTCTCATATTGGAATACTTTCAGGAAATTGTTATAAATATTGCCAAAATAGTAAGTTTCTTCAAAAATTTGAGGTTTTTTCCTCCAATTTTAGCAAAATTGGAAGGTTTTCTGCAAAATATTTTTTCCAAACTGAAGGATTTTTTTTCAAACTTAGAGGAAAGAAATTCAAAACTGGGGGAATTTTTCAAAATTAGTAAATTTTTAAAAATAGTAAGCAATTTTTTAGATTTTGAGGCCTTTCTCACAATTGAAAGGTTTTAAACAAATTTGAGACAGAACTTCCAGATTTTAAAGGAATTTTTGCATAAAGGGAGGATTTTTTTTCTAAACAGAAGGAAATATTTCTAAAATCTCAGCGAATTCTTTCAAAAATAGAAGACATTTTTGAAATTTGATTTTTTCAGTATTTAAGATTTTTTTATAATACTGGAGAATATTTTCTAAAACTTAAAAAGGAATTTTTGCAAAATGTGAAGATTTCTTTGAAACACAGGGGAACTTTTTCAAAATCTGAGGCAACGTTTTCTAAAACGTTGAGGAAAATTTTCCCCAGCTGGAGGAAATTCTTTGAAAAACTATTTTTACAAAACTTGAGGGATATTAGTTTGGTTTTTTTCCAGGAGAAAACGTAGCTTTTGAGGAAAAAAGGACCTGAAATGACAAAATTCTTCCTGACTTACGGCAGAACTCCTTTGTCCTCCACGCTCCAACCGTAGCGCCAGCAGCTTGGCAAGCAGCGGCGTACGCCTGCAGTGCGTGGCACAAGGCGGCACGGTCCCCGCTGGCGGCACAGACGTCATGGACGCAGTGGGTGAAATACTCCACCGGGCTAACGCGTGGGTGGCACCCCCGGAATGGCCCTGCTGCGTCACGAATGATCCCGCAGGATCCGTTCCTGCCGTAAATCGCCTCCTTGGCGACATCACACCTGCTGCACACACCGTCATCACAGCCATCACTGCATGCTCGGTCCTTCTCTGGAACCTTCCAAGAGGTGACAAATTCCTGGGTGTTTTCCACCAGTGCCCCATTGGGCAGCTGGAAGTCATCACTGGGATCTCCATCATAGTCGCCACCCAAGCCGCAGAGCCGGCCACGGTAGATGTCCGGGACAGTGATGAGGAGGAAGGTGGCAGTGTTGTAGAGGATGCGGATTCCTGCAGCAGTTTGAAGGATGATGTTATTCCCCTCTTGGCCAATTTGGAGGTTCTTGTCCTCTGTCACCAGCGGGAGGGTGTAGCGCTCCAAGTCCACCTGGAATGGGGATAGGGTGACATGTGTGACACTTTGGAACTGTCACTCCACAGAGACAGTGTGACTGTGGAAGGAAACACCCACCCTCCTTATAATCATGGTGTCACCATGGGAATCACTGTATCCTCCCCACAGTTGACATTGTACCCATGGATGGACACCACCACCCTCTTCATCATCACCACATCACTGTGGGAGTCTCCAGACTTACCATCACCTCCCACCTCCGTCCCCGCTCCATGGTGACGGTGTACCCGTGGATGGATACCACCACCCTCCTTATCAGCACAGGGTCAGCGTGACTGCCTGCCTCATGCTCCACCAACACTGTGAAGTTGACCAATCGTGGTGCTGGCTCGCACACCCGCGCCAGGATGTAGGTGCAGGATCCCGGGATATTGAAGGTGCGTCCATCAAAGGTGACGTAGTGGGGATCTCCTGACACAACCAACCGGCCATAACCAGTGGGGTGACATCCCAGCACGCCATCTTCCACCCGGCACTCCTCGTGGGCACCACAGAACGCCTCCTGGCAGGTCACTGTGCCGTTGGCACCACAGCGGCAGCGTTCCCGGCATGAGGGGTAGAATTCTGTATCCTTTTGGTAGTAGTGACCAAGGTACTCGCAGCCACACTCAGAACGGGGGACACAGTCAGAGCCGCTGAGGACATAACCGGTGTTGCAGAAACAGCCCTCGGAGCAAGGAGATTCAGGACAGGAGGTGGGGACGGAGGGGGTTTGGCAGGTGGGCTGGCAGGGGCTCCCACAGAGCTCATAGTGGGAGTGAGGAGGGCACGAAAGAGCTGGGGAGAAAAATGGAAATAGGGAGTGAGGGAAATATCTGAAGGGATTGGGAGTCCCTCAGAGAAGGAAGAAAGGAAGGATGGATGGGGAGGGAGGGGAGAGAGGGAAGGGAGGCTCCCATTTTCCCCTATCCCACCCATACTCACCGCAGAACTCTGCCGTCCTCCATGTCTCCACAACCACCCCATGACTCTGGCATGCAGTGACATAGGCAGAGACACCTTGACACACAGTGTCACGGTGTCCCTTGTAGTGACAGGCATCGAAAGCGCAGTCCTGCAGGAACGGCTCCGGGTTGATGACACGGTGACACTCCCGGAAGGGTCCCCCTGCTCGGGCGATCACCCCACAGTACCTGTCCCCGCGGTATGGCTGCACCTTCACCGCGTCACACACCGGGCACTCTGCACCACAACCAGCTGAGCACCCGGGGACGTCCCCCACTTTCCAGCTGTCACCCAGCTGGGTCTCATGGGAGGCGCGGTGGCCCGCGGGGGTGACAAAGTCGTCATCGGGGTCACCATTGGCATTGCCACAGAGGCCACAGACAGCGCCAGAGTAAGTGGTGGGGAGGATGACACGGGCGTAGCTGTACCAGTCAAAGGTGACAGTGACACCGAAGTCGGTGGTGACAAAGCCATGGACGCCGCGGTAGAACACGGAAAAGTGGGGGTGGGTGAAGGGAAGAGACACAAAGGCACCATCCACCTGCAGGAAGGGGAGCGAGACAAGGAGTGGGGACAGGAGAAAAGAGGTTTTAAATCATAGTTTGATAGTTTTTTTTAATTTTGGTTTTGCATTTTTATTTACATTATAATTTTAATTTATATTACATTTTCAATTCTATTTTCTCTTTTTACATTTATTTCTTCTTATTGACTTTTCACTGGCTTTCATTTTTTACCTTTATGCTTTTTATTCTTATTTACGTTTTTGGGTATTTTTTTTGAACTATTTCTATAGTTTAATTTGGTTTTAATGTATTTTGAGTTTAATGTAATTTATTGTAAAAATTGAGGAAAAATAGGAAATTGGTGGAAAAAGAGGGAAATTGCAACAAAAAGTTGAATTTAGAGAGGAAAGGAGGAGTTATTGGGAAAAAAAGGGAAAGCATGGGAGACAAAAGAATTTCAGGGAAAACAAGTGATTTGGGGGAACTAAGAGGACTGAGAAAATAGGATTTTTAGAGGAAAGAGGTGATTTTGGGGAAAAAAGTAGTATTTGAGAGATAGAAGGGGGACTTGAGTGAAAAGAAGGGTACTTGATCAGAAAAAGAGGAGAATTTGCAGACAAAGAGGCTTTTTAGGGGACAAAATGAAACTTTGTGTGAAACCAAGGGTGAAAAGGGATATTTGGTCAAAAAAACCCATATTTGGGCAGATAAAGGATATTTCAAGAATTGGAGGAAGATTTGTGTGAAAAAAATGGGGAATCTGGGAGAAAATGGAGAATTGAGAATTTGGCATTAAAAAGGGTGGTTTGGGGGAGAAAAGGAAGACTTGGTGGGGGGGGAAGGTAATTAGGAAATGGAAAAAAAAGGGGAATATGAGGTAATTTGGGGATGAAAGGGATTCCTTGAGGGGTTGCCCACCTTGACCTTGCGTGGGTGCTCCTGGCTCATGCTGATGACGGTGCCATAGACCTCCAGGTTGACGGTCTTGGTGAAGGACACGGCACGGCTGCCACGGTGGTTGTTTTCCACGGTGACATTGAAGGGGACCAGGGTGGGTTTGGGGGTGCAGAGAGCAGCAAACTGGTAGATGCAGGAGCCTTGGAAGTCAAATCTCACCCCGTCAAAGGTGGTGTAGTGCGGGTCACCCGTCCCGATGCAGGTGTAGGGCTTGTTGGGTGTACACTTCGCGATGCCATTAACCATGACACACTTCTCGTGGGATCTGCATGCCCCTGGCTTGCAAGCCACTGTCCCTGAACCCTCACACCGGCACCGCTTCTGGCAGCTCCCATCTTCCCAGAATTCCTCGTGGAGCTTGTAGGAGCGATTGTTGTGGAAACAAGCAGATATGGTGGTGCTGGGGTTGGTGGTTG